GCCCGAAGGGTTGCAAGGGCTCGACGAGGGCGGAGCTTGTGACGATGAGCATCAAGGACACGGCCATCTCCCACGTACGAGAGGCGCCAGAGGTGTGAGCGGCACGAGGAGCTTCGGGGCGTGTCCCTGTCACGCCCTGGCCTGCGAGGCCCGGGCGGCGGCGAGGAAATGCGCTCGTGCCCATGGCCATCACGAGACGACGACGGAGAAGGACGGACTCCCTCTGTGGGCAGCGCGCGCTGTGGACCGTGCCGCGTCTTGGCGCAGTAGGTCCGCCACCCCTCAGCCGAGGGAGGAAGACAGCAACACCGCCAATAAGCTCGACACCCCAGGCAGGAAGCCAGACCGCCCAACCACGGCTGTCCGATACGACAGCCCAAGAACCAAGGAGCGGGCGGGCTCGAGCTGGCTGGCATAGGTGCGAGATCCGATGGCGGACGCTGGCGCCGGATGGGAGGCTTGCTGCCGCTTCCCGGCCCTCGACGAGCGCGTTCCACTACTCGCAAAGTAACTACTCGCAAATGGCCTGGATCCCTCGCGGGGGATCTACGATACGTTATATCAAAGCAGGCAGGTGTTTCTTCGGACATTTGCGAGCAGGCACTTTGCGAGTAATGGACTGCGCTCGGCGAGGCCCGCTTCATCGGCCCCTCTACGGACTCCGCGGAGGACGACCCCCGGACCGACGTCGAGGATGCCGGGCTGTTCGCCACCTTCTCCACTCAGGACGGCGCGCTGCCCCGCCCCCCGTCGGGAGCTGTGAGAGGAGCTCCTCAGCTCCCGGCCGCCCAGGATCCGCTGGCGCGCAGGCGCGGCACGGAGGCTCTCCGAGCGTCAACTTGGCGACGAGCACGGGGGGGAAGTGAGAAGGGGCGGGGGAGAAGCGAGCAGGGGCAAGCATCGCCTCCGGAGGCGCTCGAGGCCCAGGGGCCGCAATATACTGCCCCATCCCAGGAAGCCTGCGATCGGAGGAGCTCTCGAGGCGGGGCTCGGAAGAGCGCAGGCGCAGGGCGAGGCCCAGAGGAGATGCGCTCCCCGCCTCCCCCTCGCGACGAACTGCCCGGCCAAGAGAGCGGACCGCTACGCGGAGGAGGAGGAGGGAGAGGGGGAGGAGGAGGAGGAGGAGGAAAAGGAGGAGGAGGAGGAGGAGGAGGAGGAGGAGGAGGAGGAGGAGGGCCGCGGACTCCATGGCCGCGGACAGTGGTACGGGCCCGCGCGAGTTCCTGGTCGAGCTCCTCGACGCTGCGGATGCGATGCACGACGGGAGCGCTGGAGAGATTTGGACTCCGCTTGCTGCGGGGCTGCCAGGCGAGGTGGAGATCAAGGAGCTTGAGGGAGCAGAGGAGCCGGCGCTGCCCCAGTCGCCCTGGCAGAAGCCGCCCCAGGCGCGCTTGGGCGCCATGATCCCCAGCGCCTTGGAGCCCTCCAGGAGTGGAGACGAGGGCGCAGGTGCTACGATTCAAACGCCACTTTTTAATGTTGATAGACGCGCGAAGCGCGGCCCGCGGGGTCAGGTTTGGTGTTTTGAGATCGCCAGTTTCGGCGCGGACATTGACATTTTGGGTCCTGGGGCGCCGCCACGTCGCGGGAAAAACTTGCGCTTGATTTCGAGGATGGATGTAGGAGCGGACATGCACGATCCGCGGGGTGGATGGCACGCCGGGCCGCCTCTGCCGCCCCCCACGGCCCCCCCGCCTCCGACAAGCGCCCCGCCAGGTCTGGGGCTCGTTGGCTTCGGGCAGCGGCCGCCTGCTCGTCAGCACGCTCCTCGAGTAGATAGCCAGGTCTCTCTCCGCTTCGGGCGGAGCGAGCTCAGCGTCGCCCTGCCCTGGCCAGGAGCGGACCCCTTGTCGCTCGCGGAAGCGGCGACCCGCCCCAGAGCATGGCGCACCAGAGCGTCCACCGGAAGAGAAGAAACGTTGGCGTCGGCACCCCCAGGGTCGGAGCTCGGCACAGGCTTGCAGAACCAGCCGAGGGCGGCCGAGGGTACCCTTCGGTCGGGCATGGCCTCCTGCAGGGGAATTTTGGAAGAAACATGCAAACAACGCAAACAAATGCACCCCAAATCGTCAAAACAGAATCGAAAAGTCGTCCCCAGGTTACTTGTTGTGACTATGTTTGGACATTCCTCATGTAGAGAGTAGGCGGAGGAGGAGGAGGAGGAGGAGGAGGAGGAGGAGGAGGAGGAGGAGGAGGAGCAGGAGGAGGAGGAGCAGGAGGAGGAGGAGGAGGAGGAGACATGCCCGACTTGATGGCACCCTGCCCAGCACTGGCAGGGCCGAGCAGCCTGTCTGTGGCGCGGCGCGGGGCTCTGCGACGGCCTGGCGGCCGCGCTCTGCCCGGGGCCCTGCTGGGCAGAGGCGCGCCTCACGCGCTGCGGTCCCTCGGTGAGAACTCACAAGCCTCGAACTTATCGGGCGCTAGTAGAACTGGGTTTAGTGGAACCTGGTTTAGTGATCTGTACCGGGGGCGCCACCCCGTCACATTTCCACTGACCGGAACTGCCGTCACCCGAAAAGACACCAGCTATGGCAAACCTGGTGTAGTGATTCTGGCCAATTCGAAGGCTCCGGGGCCCTACCACTAACCGGGTCCCCTCACCCAGGGTCCTGGCCATACCCGAACTTATCCCTAGCCCCAAGATTGACACGCCAAAAGGCGATGACAATCTTAGGGATGCACCCTCAGAAACTGAGGGAATCCCTGAGATTGGCATCGTGATGAGGCGATGCCCCCCATAGGGACAGGGACATGTTCCAGGCCGGTAACAGAACTCCCGCTCTTAGTGGGCCCTGGAAACGGCCGTTTTTTACCGGTTCCGTTTTGCCGTTTGTTTTGCTGGTTCTGGCGCCGCTTTTTTACAGGTTCCGTCGCCGTTGTTTTACCAGTTCTGGCTCCAGTTCCAATCCCATGGAGCCGTTCTTTGCCGTTTCCGGTCGCCGTTTTTTTGCCGTTTCCATTTTCGAGACACTTTTTCGGAAACGGTGAAAAAGCGGCCCTGCCGTTTCCGGGGCCCACTAAACTCCCGCCACCCTCTTTCGCTCCATCAGTAAGGGAACGAAGAATGACATAAACATACACACTCGGAGGTCCGCGCGGATTTCTCGGATCGGCGCTGGACCCTCCTCCCTGGCGCGCGGAGCGCGCCAGGGCCGGCGCCAGAGGCGCCGCCAGGGGCCCCCAGCGCCGAGCCGAGAAATGCGCGCGGATCTCCGAATTATGATGTTTATGTCATTGCTCGCTCCCCTAATCAAGTTCCCGACTTACATCACGAATGCCAGGGTGTACCGTTTCGTTTGCGGCCTGCCATCACGGGGGACGAGATCACACACGCATGCGCACCTGCCAGACTACTGCATGGACTGTGCCAACTTCCATGCGACCCCGGAGGCAGACATGGACAACTTCGCTCCCCCAAAGGGACTGCAGGTTGGAGACCATGCCCAAGCACGCCACCAAGGTGGTACAATGGCTCCAGGATGCCAAGCGGGAAGCACGGGCGTGGTCGTGCTTCCATGGCCAGCAGCACTACGACCAGCAGACGCGCCCGAGGCGCGCCGCCCGGGGACCCCGTGCGCGGATCCAAGAGATCCGCGCGGAGCGCCGACAGTTTCTGTTCATAGCGCTTTTGTTATTCTTCGACTGATTCTTCGCCACCACTCTGCCTTTCCCTGGCTCCGTCTCGACTCCCCGCGGCGCGCCAGGCCCGTCCAGCCCCCAAGGGCGAAACAATATCTCAAGGGCCAGCTCGTGGCCCGGCTGCCACTCGCCGTGCGCCGTGCCGCGGCGGCGAGGCCGCTCTTTCCTGCTTCCCTCTCCCTCTCCCCTCCTGCTGTCGGTGCTGGGCACGGTGCGCTCTCCCATCCTCACCCCACCCTGGAACGTCGTAATTACCCCCTCCTCCCTCCTCCCTCCTCCCTCCTCCCTCCCGCGCCTCCCTTCCTCCCTCCTCCCTCCTCCCCTCCTCCCTCCTCCCCTCCTCTCCTCCTCCCTCCTCCTCCTCCTCCTCCTCCCTCCTCCTCCTCCTCCTCCTCCTCCTCCTCCTCCTCCTCCTCCTCCTCCCCCCTCTCTCCCCTCCTCCTCCCTCCTACCTCCTCCCTCCTCCCCCCACTCTGGAACGTCGTCGTGCTCAGGCGTGGGTACGACCCGCGGCCGCGCTGGGTCAGCGCCCCTGGAACGCCCCCCCCCCGCGCGCAGCGGCGGCCGGGTGACGCGTCAGCGGTTGCTCAAGAGGGAGGGAGAGAGAGAGGTTAGGGGGATAAAAACGGTATGGAATAACTTTTCCGCCGTCGGGGACGCCTGCCCCCTGGGCGGCTGGAAAATTTCTACCCCTACATGGCTCCGTAGCCGCCCAGGGGGCAGGCGTCCCCGACGGCGGAACAGTTTTTATGTGATGCCGTTATTCGCCCCCTGAAGAGGGGGAGGAGGGCGAAGGCGCGAATGCTGCTGCAACATGTTCTGGATCACGCCTCTAGAGGCATTCTGAATGGGGTCCGAGCAGATGGGGTCGACGCATCGCGCCGCGTCGCCACTGCATCGCCGGTGCATCGGCGATGCATCGGCGATGCAGCGGCGACGTCGGCGATGCATCGGCGCTACGGTGCTATCCTCCGACCCCATCTACTCCGACCTCGGCTGGGAGGCCTGGATCGCCTCCCCCTGCCTGCCGCGCGCGCCTGCCCGCCGCGAGGCACCCGGGCCCGCCTCCCCCTCCCCAAATATACACCACCACCACCTCCCTCCCCCCCCCTCTCCCAGGAAGAGGGGAGAGGGAGAGGAGGGTAGAGAAGGAGGAGGGAGGGAGAGGAGGGTAGAGAGGGGAGGAGGGAGGGAGAGGAGGGTAGAGAGGGGAGGAGGGAGGGAGAGGAGGGCAGAGAGGGGAGGAGGGAGGGAGAGGAGAGCAGAGAAGGAGGAGGGGGAGTCGACGTGGTGGTGGCGAACATTCCTGGGGGCACCCACCCTCGGCCCCCGCGCAGAGGGGGCGAGGCGAGGCGGCGCGCCTGTAGTGCATGGCCACCAGGGGGCACTCGGCCGCCTGTGCGCGCCCGGCCGGGGGCCCCCGGCCCCTCTGCCGCCGGCTGCGAGCTCCGCTGCGGATAGACGAGCGCGTTCCACCACTCGCCAAGGAGCTACTCGCAAATGGCCTGGATCCGCCGCGGGGGATCTGCGATACATTGCATCGAGGGCAACATGGTTTTTCGGGCGCTTGCGAGTAAGCACTTTGCGAGTGCGGAGGGGGCCTCCTAGATGGGGTCCGAGTAGATGGGGTCGGAGGATCTCGCTGAATCGCCGATACATCGACGACGCATCGCCGATGCATCGGCCATGCGCTGGGGACGTCAGCGATGCATCAGCGACGTCGGTGTGGAGAACATCGGGCCCCACATCGAGCCGCATCGCCGATGCATCGGCGATGCGGCGCGATCCTCCGACCCCATCTACTCCGACCCCATCTAGGAGGCCTAGAGCTGTGGAGTGGGCCTGGGGACGCACAGACACCTGTGGGGTCCAAAACCCAGACAGCAGGGGCGCCCGAAGGGCGGGGAAAGGCCTGGCGACGATCTCTGGAAGGACCTGAAGAGAGAGCTTCCGACCCTCTGGAGAGCTTCCGGGCACGCGTACTGGGAAAACGCCTAGAAAAGGCCTGCCAAGACACGCTGCAACTTCGCAGGAGGCGCACCGAGGCTTCCTGCCGGAAGCCAGAACCACCTCCGGGGCTACCCTGCGGCTCCGGCTTCTTAATCTGAAACCCTCTTATCTCTCAACGAGCTATCCGGGAAAACAAGCAGAAGTCCCAGGAGTCCCAAGATTTGTCCATAGGCTTCGGGTGTTCGTCGTCCCCTCTACTTCCCATGCTCTCCCGTATTCTCAGAGCAGGTGACGTTTCTCTGTGTCTGTGTGTATTGTTACCTCGGGGAGCTGGGGGGCAACTCTTGGGAAGTCTTCGCGGCAACGACTCAGGGTTACTAAGCTCGCTTAGGAAGTGGCCATTGCGCGAATGAGCGATGGATTGGGCTGGATTGAGCGGGACTGCGCGAAATCAGCCGGGATTATGTCAGATCGGGCATGTTTTCGACCCCAAATATTCCACTGCGCAAAATATGCCGGGATTCTGCCAGATCGGGCAGGTCTTCGACCCCAGATATGCCAGCGCCAATGCAGCATGAAACCTCCCAGGATCTCAGCTCAGCGTCAAAGACATCATCAACACCGATAGTAAGGGTGCCAACCAAGAGAGAGCGAGAGAAAGAGTGAGAGCGAGCGACGAGAGAGAGAGAGAGAGAGAGATAGCGCGCGCGAGTCTTGCACAAGCGCCGTGCGTCGCCCCCCCCCCGCCCTCCCCCCCTCGCCGCAACCGGGCCCCCCCCCTCCGGAACGGGAGCTTTTCTCCTCTTCTGGCGAGAAAGCCCCCGCCCCTCGAAAATGCGGAGGCGGGGGGTCGAACCTCGCCCCCATTGCGTGCCCGCTAACGGCGACGGGCACGACGACGGCGACAGTGCTGACGGCGACGACGCTGGCGGCGGTGGTGATGACTGAATGTCTGTGCTGTCCGATGATTCATGTCCTCGCCACGTGGAGATGTCGTGGCTAGCACTGGGGCTAGCCTCAAACTCACAAGATGATTCAGACATGGTCTGAGTGTCTGTACCACATTTGCGCAGGGGAAATTCCCGGGCAGTCTGCGGCGCTATTAGGAGCGCACGACCAGCAGCCTTGCGACGCTGACGGCGACGGCGATGACGACGATGACGAAAACGCCGACCACGACCGACAACCACGACGACGACGACGACAACGACGACTGGATGGGCAGGACTTCGAAATTCGGCGGGCGAGACATCAAACAGGTCGGGCGAGCTTTCAAGGCTTCGAGCAGGTGGAGCCCTGACGGGCGGGAGGAGCGGGACGTCAAACGTTGCGGGCGTGCTTACAAGCATTCGAGCAGGCAGGACCCTGACGTGCAGATCGGGCGGGCGGGACCCGAACGGGCGGGTCGGGCGATTTCGGGCGGGCCGGTCTTCAAGCAATCGGGCGGCCATGATCCTGACGGGCGGGTCGGGCGGACGGGACCCTGGCAGGCGGATGAGGCGGGCGGGACTCTGACGGGCGGGTCCAGCGAGCGGGACCGAGCGGGGCATTCAACTTACACCTGGCTCCTTGAAAGCACAAGGTCCTATGTCGTAGTGGGCAGTCAGTGTCAGCGTCGTCGTCGTGACCGTCGTCGTCGTAGCAGTCCGCGTCAGCGTTGTCGTCGTCGCCGTCGTCGTCGTCGTCGTTTGCTGGCGCGGCAAAGGGGGGTCGACCCCCCCTATTTGAGATGTGGCGAGCTCGACACCCTCTCCCCCCTCCGATCTGTTCGGAGAACCCTCCAAGCGCCTTGAATATGTTTTTTCCTAGGTCAGCGGCGTCGGGCCAGGAAACCTTTCGACGAAAGGCCCGAAAGCCCTGGAAGGCCAGGGATAATGGGTGGCCTGCTGGACGAACTATTACATCCTGGCTACGGATCTCGACTGTACAATGCCGCTAACCTGCGGCCGTAACCTCCACTCTTCGGTCTCGATCCCCGACCCCACCACCCCGACAAGCCCAGGCTTCCCTCCATGGATCCAACGACTTCGCACTCCCTGCCTTTGACACTTCATCCGATCCCACTATGTAGTGCCGTGGCGGCTTGTGCGTCGGCTTCAGACTCTGCGTGGACCGCTCAACCTCGAACGCCCGCGCCGGCGTCGCCGCCGCGCTGTCGCGGCGTGACCCCGCTGTGCAACAGTGCGGACCTGGCTGCCCCGTCCCCTGCATCAGAGTGATCGGGTGTTGCTAGAAGTGCCCCTGGCCCAAGGCGCCCCCAGCTTTTCGCTCCATTTTGGAACCCCTGGGGTCCTCGGGGCCTCGTGAGGGGTGCCCTGGGGGCCGTCTGGGCCACCCCGAGAATCCTCGGGGTGCCTTGGGCCACGGGCACTTCTAGCAGCACCCGAAGCCCGAAGCTGCTGCTCCGCTGCGCCGCGGCCACCTGCCGGTGCGATCTCCCCGCGGGGGAGCAGGCTGCAGGGGGACGCCTCGTCGCCCTTGCCGCCGCCCTTGCAGCCGCCCTTGCCGCGCCTCACGTCCGACTTCCACGAGTCCCTGTTGTCGCCGATACTCATGTGCATTTTCCACTCGTCCTGCGCCGCCGCGGTGTGCAACGAAGCCAAGCTCGGGACAGCAGCGGCCCGGGACAGGTCGGGGATCTCTCTGAAAGCCGGCGGCCCTGGAGGCCACGCCGCGCGCCGCACCCGCCTGCAGCGCGTGCCGGAGCGCCCTGGGTGCGATCTGGAACGCTCAAGGGCGACTTGTGCCCAGCCTAGGCCGGCCTGGCGATGCCCCCCATATTGGCGGCGCGCACCAGGCGGCGGCGCGAGGGGGGTGGCCTGCTCAGACGGCAGGGATGCTTCGTGTAGAAGGCGGGGGGCCTCCTCTGAAACCCTCACGGCTACAGAGAATCGGGCGTCGCTTGAGGGGGGGGCGATATACGAAGGGGGGGGGAAATTGCACTTCTCGGGCCCTAAAGGCTTTTCAGTATTTGTCTTTTTTTGGGCACCCTGAAGCCTGAAGGGCTCCTTCAGGGGCTCTAAAAGGCCCCTTGAGGGGCCCTCAAAATAGCTCCTTCTCTGCAGCCCTCGCGTCGGAGAAACCCTTTCCAAAAACCTTTGGGCCCTTCCCAGAAGGTTGGCGGCGCGCACAAGGGGGATATGGGGGAGGGGGGAAGGCTTCGTAGAAGGAGGCAACTTGTTAACAAGGCGCCGGCTATACATCTACGGACAAGGCCCGCGCCCTCTGAGCAGCAAGGGTATTGCAAAGAAGCCCTTCCCCCTCCCCCTGCCCCCTTTCCAACTCCGCCTCCTCCGCCTCCGCCTCCGCCTCCTCCTCCTCCTCTTCCTCCTTCTTCTCCTCTTCCTCCTCCTCCTCCTCTTCCTCCTCCTCCTCCTCTGTCGCGGGAGCTCGTTTCCCGTCCTCGTCGCTCCCGTGGTGAGCAACGCAATCGCTCCGCGCCTTCGGGCGCGCGCCCGCGTTGGCCGCGCCTGGCGCCTCGCGGTCGGCCTTGAGCCAACACGGCGACCAGCACGTCGCCGTTGTCGTCGCCGTAGCCGTCCCTCCGGGCGTGCTCGACTCTGGTGGTGAACGTGTCGCGCTCGCTGATCTCCAGCACGGACTTGGTCCCCAACCAGTAGATCGCATCGAACACCACAACACTCGTCATGCACATGGTCCCGAGCCGCCGCCCGGCAACGTGTGCGTCCTGGCTTTGCCATCCATTCGTCGCCCTGGTTAGCGGCTACCATTATGGAGGCCGTGTCCGTCCAGCTGGTGCTCGACTCGAACTCGCATTCTGGAGCACTCGTCCGGTAGACGTCCAGGGCAATGCCTCACTTGCACCTCCGCGGTCCAGATGTCGATCTAATCCGTCGTACCTGATGGCGCTGTGTTGGTGGTCTTTCTTCGGCCAGTCCTTGAGTGAGATCGTTAGGCGCCCCTTCTCGGTCTTGTTGAGCGGCGCCCCGTACTTGTTGATCGCCTTGAAGTCCGCCTTCCGCTCCTTCGCGTACAGCGCTGTGTCTAGCTCTTCCAACTGGCGGGTGCTTAGCAGTACTGGCGTCTTCGATTCCGGCAGCCTCTAGCATCGTAGGTTTACGTCGGCCCCTGCAAGTCCAGCTGTCACTTCCTCTGTAGGCCCTCCGTAGGCCTGTAGTCAGCGCCTGTCCTGCGTTCCGTCCACAGCCATGTCGGTCGCCATCCATGAGGTAGGCGCTCGCAGGCGCCCCTCGCGATGTCTCGTAGTTCCGCGGGGCTGCCCCAGGATGCTTGGCATAGGTCGTACGCCAAGTTCCAGTCCCTATGGTGCCATCTCCATCGTAATGCGCATGAGCTGGTAGATCCGGCGTAGTGCCCAGTCCGCACACCAATTCATGTAATCCGTGTAGGCTGCTTCCATGTTCTCACAGCTGACCCATAATGCTGCAATATGTGCTGCTCGATCTTTGATCTCTTGTAGGTCTGCCAGTGTGGCATCTTCTTCATGGTAGTCGGTGCTCGATGTGCTGGGCCATGTCTGTCCTGATCCAGATCCTGGCGCGTGGACTTCTCTATCTCTATCCTCAGGTTCTCGTTCTTGATATTCCTCAGGTACGCGGCGGATCCGATTCGCCCCTCCAGGCAGTTCTCGTGCACCTTGATCGTCTCAGCGTGCTGATACCGTCCAGGCGTTCACGATCTGCCCGTCGGTGTCGACCCTCACCTTCGTCAGACTCGTGATCTCTTCCATCGTGGTTTCCATGTTCGCCAGCTGGTCACTCGCGATCTGGATGGCAGTCATGTCAATCGAGCTGTCCGCCATCCGTAGCTTCACCGACGTTACCATCGCAAACCCAGCCCGTCGTAGAAAACCTCCAGGTCGCCCGTGAAAGCCTCGGCCACCACCTCGTCCTCCACGCTGTAGGCTGCTCGATGATCCGCCACCTGATGGCCTTGTCTGTTCGCACTCTGGGTCGCCTTTCCAGTGGCCCTTCTTGTGCCATGCGATGCACTTCGTGCGAGCCTTTATCTTCGCGGGCTTTTCTTCAGCTTCCTTGTCGCCCATCTTGATGAATCCCAACTTGTTGATTCTGGCCTTCCAACGTCGACTGGACCCGCTCTGTGCAAGCCTCTCCCGGGCTTGCTTGCAGTTGGGCTTGCGACCTTTTCGTCCCGCCTTCCACCCGAGACGCTGTGCCTCATCCGCTAGAGTGTCGCACTCCTCCTAGCTGACATCCTCGGGGTCGACGTCGTCAACCACTCCTTCGAACTCGTCGAGGTCTCTGCCAGTGCATCGTAATCTTCATCGCTCAGAAGCCCGTCCTCGTCGCGCACGCCACGCTCGTATCCAAGTAGGGCTTCCTCCTCATCATCGTCGTAACCTACCGGGTATGCTCCATGACGTCCGTGACCACGTTCGTTTCTACACGTCGTGTCCAGCTGGATGAGCGTCGCCGCCGTCACGTCGTCCCAGATGTACTCGTTGTAGCACCGCCCGAGAATATCCTCATGCTCGGTCATGCTGATACTGGACAATTTTAATAGGAAGTACGTCCGCAGGTCTTCGCTCACCGCTGCGTTTGCTGAGAGAGACTTGAGCCGCTCGTACTCCGTCTCCGGCCTTGATCTGTAACCCCGCGCTGACTCCGGTCTGCTGCGAAAGGCCTTTGAAGACATACTCCTCGAATGCTTGCTGCTTTTGTAGTGGTGCGATCCGTTCGCAGGCTTGTCGGACCGTGGCCACTACCAACTTGATCTGCAGCAAGAGGGTCCTTACTTGCTTTGTCCAGCACTGCTTGCGTCGCAATATCGGGCCTCTTCCTTTTGAGTTCCACGCTCGCCCATTTAGAGAGCTCTTGAGCTTGACCGCCTAGAGCTTCTGCAGCTTCTCCTCACTCGCACAGTAGCTCAATGTTGCGCGCTCCTCGAACTCCTCGCCGTCGGTTGGGTCGCCGTTGTAGTGCACGACGCCCTCATTGTCCACAAAGAGGGATCCTTCGTTGGGGTGCTGCTGCCTGTTCGCCATATTGTCTGTGGTGATGGTGACGCCGTCTATGATGATGGTGTCGCCGTCTAGCTCGTTGCCGTCCAGCTCGTAGTACATATCGTTGTCGCTGCTGCTGTCCGGGTCGCGGCAACGATTCTCGGCCAGGCTGCAAGTGATGATGTTCAGCGTGCTGATCGCTGAAGGAAGTGCGCTGTGGTAAAGCACGACGAGAGTCTTGAGTCTTGAGCGTCAGCATATATGTCTGCACGGCCGGCCACTCACAATCTGAATCTCGCAACCGTAGAACTGATACAGCTCCAGGCAACCGGTGTAAATACTGATCTCACCATCTCTCCCACTTAGCACTTGATGCCAGCACAATATAAAATAAAAAATAGCAATATGTCTCCGTACTCAAAACACTCGTGAGTAGGTGCGTCCACCCTCCCGCCCAGCTTGTGAGCCACAACGGCCATGGGCGGAAGGGACAGAAAATTCACTATCACCCTAAATCTCACATCCTCGCCTATCTGATTTTTCACATTTGGAACACAAATTGGTGGCTCCTCCTCTTACCCCTCCTCAGACCTCAATAGTTACATAATATGAATACTACTCCCCTCTTTCCCACGAAGACGCCAGTGAGGTGTCCTGGCCTACTCCGCGTATTGTTTCTTGCACACAGCATGCCGCCGAGTTGATAATTCATATGTGTGTTGCCCATCCGAACGTTTTCAGTCCTTGCAGAATGGTGTTCCTGCTAAAGCATTGGCTCCATTTTCCCGTTCCCACTCCTTCCAAGTCACGTGCCCGCTGCAGCGCTGACCTCATTTCATTGTTTCATTGTTTCCGTTCCTCCAATGCGTGCCCCTGCTGCAGCGTTGGATTCGGTGCCGCGCTTCCAGCCCTTCCAAATCGGGCTCCCACTGCAACGTTGGTATCATTTCCGCGGTTTCGGACCTTCGAAATCCTGCTCCCGCTGCAACGCTTATCTCATGTTGCGCTTCCCGCTTCCCAAACCGTCCAGTTGCATTGCTCGTACTGTCATTTATGATTTCCCTCTGACCTTGTCGTCGAAACGAATCGCGTTCTCGACGCGACGTCGGCTGTGGCCGTGCTCTTCTGTGCCATGCTATGCCGTGCTGCACCATGCATCGCGTACTCTCTCGGGATCATTGCCCTATTCGACATCCGACTGTGCGAATAGAGAGAGGAGCTCTAGGCAATGGTAAGGAATGGCATGGAGGGGTCGGACGTCAGATATGACGCTTGCGCACCTAGCTTGTCCCTCCCCTCTCGTCTCCCTCCTCATCACCCTCCTTCTACTCCTCCGTTTCCTCCTTGCTCCTCCTCCTACTCCTCCCCTCTTTCCTCCGGGAAGTCTGTAGAGGCCCCGCGAAAAGGGTTTGAAACGTCCAGACACTACGATCCTTGGTTCACGACCACCGATCCTCGAACTCCGATCCTCGACGACGACATCGCCGCTCCCCAGACATCTGGCGTCTCGTTTTGTTGTATTGGTCTTTACCAAAAAGAAAACGTACGAGCCACGGCACCGTACGTCAAGTGCTGGGGCTTGCGGCCCATCTTCCCATCCCACCATCACAGGCGGATGCCAGGTCCCTGAAAATGGGACGGGGTGGGCACGAGTGGGCATCATGGCAGGCTCAAACTCAAAAGAGACATCATGGCCTCATCATGTTGCCGGTCTCACTGGCCTTCCTTTCATGCGCAGCAGCACGCTCTCCACATGCAGACCGGGTGTTCGTCAACGGGGGGGCGAGAAACGTGGGGAGGCGAAGCGTGCGCCTTCTCGTGCACCTGCTTGGGCCCGCGGCGGCAGTTTCTGGGGTCTCTTCAGGCCCCGTTGGGCCACTGTCCTGCAGTTCTCGATCCCTCCCCCCCCCTCGGTTGACTGCCCCCCCCCCTCCACTCCGTTTCGGCTAGACGCAAGAGTGACCCTGGGCAAGACTGACCTTTGGTGCGCGGCTTCTGGGGGGCTCGAGGGGGCCACACCTAAGCGCGCAGGCCGCTGCCATCGCATCGCGCTCAGGGATCGGGGGGGCCCCGATGAGCCCGCACCAAAGGGCACTCCGGCGAAGAGCCACTCTTACGTGTAGTCGACCGCTGCCGCCCACCTGACACCTGACACGGGGGCCCCAGACCGGTCAAAGGCGGGGGGCCCGAGAGGCCCAGCATGGAGAAAAGCTGGTCGCCTCGATTCCGTCGAGCCGCCTGATGTCGGGGCCTGCTCGTCGGCTCTGCCCCTCGTCCTTCCCGCTCTCCAGCCCCAAGCGCCTCCCCCAGCCCTGCCGCACGGCCCTCATTCCCCCTTCGCCAGCCCGCCCCCACGACCATCGCTCGAGGATCGCGAGGATCGAGGCTTTAGGGCATTCTTCTTCGCATGTTCCTCGAACATTGGAGGCTTGGAAATGAGCACCAACACCAAGACAAGGGGTTGCCTCCACCGGAGCAACATGGTCTAGATTTTGGTGTTGGTGGTAATCTTTCGGTCGCCCAGGGAGTCCGAACATTACTACCATTATTACCAAGATCAGGATCATCGTCCCTCGGAAGAGGCCCACCGCCGATACTGTTGATGGTGTCAACCTCTTCCGAATGCGCAGAAATGTGCCGCCCGCGTATTTTGCCGTATCGCGCCGAAAATCCCGAATGCTAGAAATTCACCGCCCGCACATCGTGCCGTGCCCATTTTTTTCCACGAGGGCAAACATGTGCCGTGCGTGCCGTACCGTTTGTACGTGCCGGTGGCGCACGGCCATGGTCGTGGCCCGCGTGCCGTGCCGTGCCGTGTTCATGGCGTGCGCTGTGCCACGTAGGCTTTTTAAGCTCCGTTGGTGTTTATGGCCTTTGTGCGCGGTGTGATTTCAAGTTTCCCGCGGCCTCCGAAAACCTTCGGAGACATCTGGAGGCTTCTGGGGACCTCTGGATGCGTCAGGATGCCGTTCGGGACCTCTGGAGACTGCTGGCATCGTGGTCGTCGCTTCGAGCGCGGGCCCTCCCGCCTACCCGCACCCTGCTGCTGCCCTCCTCCCTGCCCTGGGTGTCTCCAGCTTGGAGATCACGTTGTTCCAATCGATGAGGTTGTTCTCCATCCGAAGCCACAAAGGCGTGCCGTCTTTGCCCCGATTGCACGGGTATAAACCGCAGTCCTCTCACAGGCGGGGGACCAGGAATTTAGCGCAAGAGGATGCCATGCTGGTCGAATTGTGGAACAATCCAACAGCCACCAGCTTGGCTGTCTCTTGGGCACCTTGCGACATAAGTCAACGTGGTCGAGATAGGTGCGTAGATGTGTACTATATATATAGATGTATACACTATGTACATGCGTAGATGTGCGTGTGCATTTCTCTATATAGATATGTATGTATCTATGTGTTTCTTGCATCTCGCTGTTTGGCGTTCCTCGCAGCATGTTGGTATCCTAGATTGCAGAGGGCCGAAGACGGTTGATTGGCAGGAAGGACATGATGCATGGGCCATGGGCGACGGAGAGAAATAGGCAGCGAGGGCCTATACTTACATACATAGGTAGATATACAGACATCTATGTAAAGAGGGAGATAATCGAGAGAGATAGATAGTGAGAGAGAGAGAGAGAACAGAGCGAGAGAGAGAGAGAGTGAGAGAGAGAGAGAGCGAGAGAGAAAGAGAAAGAGTCAGGAACCAAGCGCCTCGACGGCGCATTGGCAGAACTGATGGCGTGCAGATGTGCACTGGCAGGGTGGTGAAACACCTCGATCGGCTGCGGACCTCTGCTGGCAGTGCTGCTTCGAGTCCGTGGGAGGTCGGGCAGAAACCCGACGATCTGTCCGTGGCGGGTGTCGAGACGCGCGCGTGCTGCGCAACTGTCAGACTGGCCGCTGAGCTCTCCCAGGCGGCGTGGGCACAGACGACGACGACGACGACGACGACGACGACGACGACGACGACGACGACGACGACGACGACGACGACGACGACGAAGGGGGGGGGGGACGGAGCGAGAGAGACAGCGAGGGAGACGGCACGGCAGGCCGGAGGAGGGGCGGGGGAGGAGAGAGGGGCAGGGCAGGGCAAAGGCGCCGAGGCTCGCCCCGCGGGGGGGGCGGCCCTCCATAAGAAGAGCTCGGCGGGGGCGCCGGAGCGCCGAAACTCAGAGGTCGTAGTACACGATTGCTTCAGAACCTGGAATCCGATTCCAAGACCTGGAGAGAGAGAGAGAGAGAGGGAGAGGAACAAGAAAAAAACAAGCGAGAGACAGATAGAGAGAGAGAGAGAAAGGGAGAGAGATGAGGATCCAGATCCATAGGTCGTCGCCGTGGAGCTCGACGTCTACCACGTATACACGACATAACTAGCAATGGCTAATTTGCTGCATGATTATTTCGGCGTGGGCTGTGGCATTAACTTCTGTGTGCCAGCGATCGCGGGACCAATAGCCCATACTACGCTCAATTTACAGGGCATGCCGACGAGCATTCGGACGGCATGGTATACGCTGATGCTCGCAAGGAGCGGTGCAGACGGAAGCAAGCAAACGAGCAGGGCAGCAAAACTCTTGCTGCAATCGTGAGTCTTCTGTCGGGGAGACGTAAGACCCGGGTACGGGGGACTCGGAAATCCCCGACGAGGTCGTCAAAAAAACGACGAGGCCGAGCCTGCATTTTGACGAGGCCTCCCGCTGCAGACATCCCACAAAACTCCTCCTCGTCAAAATCCGAGTCGCGGTCGTCAAAAAACGATGGCGAACCCGAGTCCTGGCAAACCCGGGTCTTACGCTTCCCCGATTCTGATCGCACAAGTCGGGCCGACGTCAGCGCCAGGCCGCCAGCGCCGGGCCTACGCCAGCGCAGGGCGGCCGCTGGCGCATGGCCGCCGGCGGCCCCGCGGGCCGAACGCGCGGCGCCCGCCGCCGGCGTCCGTGGCCGGGCGCGCGGGTCTGTTCCGACCTCGCTGGCCCGTGACAGGGGCCAGCGCGCGCGAGGCAGAGGCCGCAGTTCGGGTCGGGCGAAAGGGGGGGATAGCAAAGGGGGGGTTTGAGAATCAGCTCACGTAGCTGATTTTCCCGGCGCCTCCCGGCGCCGGAGGCGGCTATGTATCGAGGAATGGGCCCGGCGGCGGGGCCGAAACCAGCTGCATGCAGCAAATTTCGTACCCCCCCCTTTCCCAATCCCCCCCTTTCGCCTGGCCCGAGCAGTGGAGTGGGCTCAGGCCCGAGGCCCCCGTCTGGGCTGCGTGAACGGGGGCTTAGCTCAACGGGGGCTTCGGCTTTTCCATACACCCCCGTTCACTGTACCCCCGTCTGCGGCGCCCAGGGGGCATAGCCAAACGTGGAAATCGGCGCTCCCCGTGCCCCCGTTTGCTGTACCCCCCGTCTCTGGCGCCCTGACCCAGCCTCACTCGCCGGGGGCCGGGCCGCCCGTGCGCGCGCGCGGCAACTGTCCGTGGGGAGCTGGGCGCGCGGGCCCGGAAGCCGCTGGGCTCTCGTGGCGTGGTTGCCCGCCTGCCAGCGTGGCAGCGGAGCGTGCCGGCCGAGCGGCCAGCACCCCGGGCAGCTGCGCGAAGAGAAACACAAAGAAAACGACTCCTGGAACCCCCATGCGCTGTCGAGGTCGCGGTCCCGGGCGCCCCGGTCTCGTGCACGGGGATATATATATATATAGAGAGAGATATGTATATACATATAGATATAGATAAGGATATGCACATGCTAACCTGCGTGGACCTCAAACAATGGTTTCCTAGTTCCTGCGCGGTGCAATATATGTGGTGCAGTATATCTGGCGCATAGGACTGCAAAGCAATGCAGAACAATTCAAAGCAACGATACGTAAGCAACTCAATGCGAATGCAATGCGACTGCAAAACGATGCAACGCAACGCAAAAACTACGCAACGCGTAAAGTGATGCAAATCGATGCAAAGCGATGCAACGCAATGGGAAGCAACCCGAAGCAACGCAATGCAATGCAAAGCAAAGCGAAGCGATTGCAATGCGAGAGCAAGGTGATGGCGGTGCTATTTAAACCAAAGTTTGGCGAAGCAAAGAAAAGCAATGCAAATCAGTGAAGAGCAATGCAAAGCAATGCGAAGGAATGCGCAGCGATCAGAAAAGAATTCCGAGCAGTGCAAACCAGTGCGAAGCAATGCAAAGGAATGCGATGCAGTACGAGGCAAAGCAGAGCCAAGCAGTGCAGAACAATGCAATGCTATTGCAAGGCGAAGCAATCCAGCGGCGACAGCGGCGACGGGCAGAGACGAGCCGGCTGGACAGGCTCAACTGCCATCGGCGGCGGCGGCCACGGGCGGCAACGAGCTGGCCGGAGCGGCGACGGCGGGGGCGAACGGGTGGCAACGAGCCGGCGGGACTGAGACTGAGGCTCAGTTGCCGTAGAAGGCAAGTAAGACCATCATAAGGAGGAGGAGGAGGAGGATGCAAGGACTGTGTGCAAATATAGATATGTAAATATCAAATCACTCTTTAACGCAATACTAGAACATTTCATACGGCAGTCTCTACAGCCATGTTGCATCATATCATGATGTCAAAGTGTCATTTACACTGTTTTACGATACTCGAAAATCGCACATGTTACTATCGTGTAGCAAGCTCCAGTATCTCACAACACAATATATCAGATTCGTGTGTGCTATCTGTTATGAGAACACGCTCTACCATATAGTATTACCCGTGTTATGCTATAGTCTAGCGTGCAACAGTATGGTACATTATACCATGATACATAAGAACGTATCAGACGATATCATGTTACATTAAAACCAGAATTACTGTGTCGTAACGCGTTACCATATGTAATCCGTTGCTCTATCATATCGTATTATACTATAGTATGCCATGTTATGACATATGATCGTGCATTATGTTGTGCTGTTTCATATTATACAGCATCACGTTTCACATGTGATGTATTATTACAAGCATATGTACATATACGCGATATCGCATCACATTATGTTAGAATGTGTTATACCAGGTTGTACTATATTCCTGCAAGAAAGACAAAGCGCACCATATTAGGTTCAGATGTGTATGGCGGACAGAGAGAGAGAGAACAAAACATGATAACGAAAGAACAAGAGAGAGAGAGAGCGAGAAAGAGAGAGATACATGACAACAGCGCAGACACGATTGAAAGAGACAGAAAGACACAGAGAGACAATAACTACGGCGCGTGCGCGGAGAAAAACACCATCAATCAAATAATATCCGGCACTCGACGAGCAGATAACCGACGCGCTTTCAAGACGTCGCCTTATGTGACCCCGGCCGACCAAAGGTAGACGCTCCAGAAGCGTACTACTTTCAACGGTACTCCTACTCCTCAATCAGCGCCCTCGCCGAATAACTTGATAGTTGCCACGAAAAAGAGAGAAGGAAAAACATGAATGAATGTGATGGAGGGACAAGAGATACAGGGATGATGATCCTGAGGATGATGGCGAGGAGGAACTCACCACATCGACGCTGTGGTTCGCGCAATCGAGAAGCAATGTGCTAAAGCCATGAGAGCGGCGCTAGGGATGTCCTTGACGGCTCCAAAAACTGCAAGCGCTCCGCGCCAGGTGATCTGGTTGTGCGACAAGTGAATCTCCTGGCGCGCATGCGACATTTGCCCACGCTGCTCGCGAGCAGATGTTTGGAGAGGACTGCTGGGCTCTCGGGAGACTGAAAGCGAGTCTAGGTGAGTTGGCGTGGTGCCACCGATGGCACTTCATAACATTGTGGTGAGTGGGTCCGTTCGCCAGAAAATTAAATAACAATAATTATTCACTGCGTTGAGCTCCCCATATGTGCACCTATTCTCATGGACCTGTCCGCCGTGAATGTCTAGGCGCAAGAGCTTTCGAATATACACGAGCTTCAGTTGTGACGGTCTGGTCATGTATCTGTATGAGAACGACTCGGAGTGTGAACGAGCCTCAGTAGTACGAGCGCATCTCTGCGCATGAGCCTGGGTCCTCCTGGGGCCTCCTGAAACCTACTGGGGCTTCCTGGGGCCTCCGTGAGCCTATTGGGGCCTCCTGGGGCCTCCTGGGACTTCCTAGGGAGGATTCGTGCCCCAGGAGAGGCCCAATCTATAGCAGCAGACGTACAGAAAACATTGCGGATTGGAGCCACAGGAGAAGGGGACAACCTATAGGAACACACGTAAAACACCAAGGACTCGTGCCCCAGGAGAGGCCCTATAGGAACATAAGTACACAGGAGAAGGACAATCTATAGAAGCATACGTATAACATCAAGGATTTGTGCTCCAGGTGAGGCCCAATCGATAGGAGCATACGTGAAACACATGGGATTGGAGCCACTCCTGTTGCCTTCTGAAGCCTCCTGCTCCTGGGGCCGCTCGGGGCCTCTTGTTGCCTTCCGAGACCTCCTGGCGCTTCCTCTGGCCTCCTGGGGCCTCCTGTGGCTCCCGGAGGCCTCCTGGAGCTTCCTGGGGCCTCCTAGAGCCTCTTGGGGCATCCTGTGGCCTCTTGAGTCTTTCTGTGGCCTCATGATGCCCCCTGGGACCTCATGTGGTCTCCTGGGGCCTCCTGGAGCCTGTTGGAGCCTCCTGTGGCATCCTGAAAAGGATCTGCGCCCACGAATCTGGCAACCGATCGAGACATCCTCAACATCTGGCCCACCTGGGAGGTGAAAATGAGCGCCTCGCTCGAGACATCCTCCAAATCTGCTCCGAAAGCGAAGGATGTTGGGACAGAAAACAAGCAAACCGCTGGAGACATCCCCACAAAACGGCCGCGAACGGGACCGTGAGGTAACCCCTGGCGGCTCTCCGTAGGGGGGGGGGAAATGAGCGCCTCGCTCGGGACGTCCTCCAAATCTGCTCCCAAAGCGAAGGCTGCTGGGACAGAAAACAAGCAAACCGCTTGAGACATCCCCACAAAACGGTTGCGAACGGGACCATGAGATAACCCCTGGCGGCGCCCCTTAGGGGGGTGAAAATGAGCGCCTCGCTCACGACATTCTCCCAATCTGCTCCGAAAGCGAAGGCTGCTGGGGCAGAAAACAAGCAAACAACTTGAGACATCCCCACAAAACAGCCGCGAACGGAACTGTGAGATAACCCCTCGGCGGGCCCCCTTAGGGACGTGAAAATGAGCGCCTCGCTCGAGACATCCTCCAAATCTGCTCCGAAAGCGAAGGATGTTGGGACAGAAAACAAGCAAACCGCTGGAGACATCCCCAAAAAACAGCCGCGAACGGAACCGTGAGATAACCCCTCGGCGGGCCCCCTTAGGGACGTGAAAATGAGCGCCTCGCTCGAGACATCCTCCAAATCTGCTCCGAAAGCGAAGGATGTTGGGACAGAAAACAAGCAAACCGCTGGAGACATCCCCAAAAAACAGCCGCGAACGGAACCGTGAGATAACCCCTCGGCGGGCCCCCTTAGGGACGTGAAAATGAGCGCCTCGCTCGAGACATCCTCCAAATCTGCTCCGAAAGCGAAGGATGTTGGGACAGAAAACAAGCAAACTGCTGGAGACATCCCCACAAAACGGCCGCGAACGGGACCGTGAGATAACCCCTGGCGGCCCCCCGTAGGGGGGTGAAAATGAGCGCCTCGCTCGAGACATCCTCCAAATCTACTCCGAAAGCGAAGGGTGTGGGGGCAGAAAGCAAGCAAACCGCTTGAGGTATCCCCACAAAACGGCCGCGAACGGGGCGTGCGTGAGTCGCAGCATGAACAAGTATGAGTAGGAGTAGGTCTGAGTATGAGTAGGTCTGGGTATGAGTAATTGTGTGTGTGTGAGTAAGTACGGGTATGAACAAGTCTGAGTGTGAGTAAATCTGCGTATGAGTAAGTCTGGGCATGAGGAGGAGAGGGGAGGAGAAGAGGAAGAAGAAGGAGTAGGAGGCGTCCAAATAATAACAAGAACCCAGACTTAGGTCATGTGGAAAAGCATGAAGGGATCGCCCTCGCGCTGATATGCTGCTGATATGCCACAGTAGCCCAATACGCCGTCAGCCAAAGCTGTCAAGTGCGCATCAAGACATACAGCGTGGTGAGGGAGGGATGGGGGTGGCAGCAGCGAAGAAACATTTGAGATGCAACTGCAGCTCCTACACTTGCGCGCTAAGCTGCATCACGCCACCACCTCAAAACGATCGCAATGACTCCTCTCGGACCCCGATGGGTCTTTCAATGCCTTCCGAGCCAAGGCTACGGCCAGGCGAGGCTCCTATGTTGCTCCTCCTCCTCCTCCACCTCCCTGCCCTTCCCGTCCCTCTCCTCCCCTCCCCCCTCCCCTCTCTTCCCCTCGCCCCTTCCCCTCATCCCTCCTTCCCCTTCCTCCCCTCCCTGCCCCCCTCCTTCCCCCCGTCCTCCCTCCCCCACTCCCCGTCCCCCTCCTCCATTTCCTCCTCCTCCTCCTCTTCCTCCTCCTCCTCCTCCTCCTCCTCCTCTTCCTCCTCCTCCTCCTCCTCTTCCTCTTCCTGCTCCTCTTCCTCCTCCTCCTCCTCCTCCTCCTCCTCCTCTCCCTCTTCCTCCTCCTCCTCCTCCTCCTCCTCCTCCTCCTCATCCCTCCTCCTCCTCCTCCTCCTCCTCCTCTTCCTCCTCCTCCTCCTCCTCCTCCTCCTCCTCCTCCCCGCGAGGGGCGGCGACCATGCTGGCGAGGGCGGCACGCGCGGCTCCTGCACGGGCTCGGCGGCCTGGCTCGAGATGAACTCGCCGATGGACTTTCGGGGGGGGGGGGTGGTGGCGGGTGGGGGGGGCGAGGGCGAGGGCCAGGCAGAGGGGCGAGGGGGCGGGTGAGGGAAGGGGAGGCCGAAGGAGGAGGATCGGGCGAAGGGGCGGGGGAGGGAAGAAGAGGACGAATGAGGAGGATCGGGCGATGGGCGGGGGAGGGAAGAGGATAACGGGCTGTCTTTCGTGCAGGGCACTCTCGTCGAAGGGTGTATGTAACCTGGGATGTGGCCCTCTCGGAGCGAACATGCAAACCATATTCAGGACCAACACGTTGGATGCCCTCCCCCCGCCCCGTCAGTACGCCGAACATCTTTGCTAGAAGCGAAGACCACCACGCCCCGTAGGATGCTGGGGCAAATGTGGATGACGTTACCACTGTGGGCTGCTCAGGAACGCCCTCGCTCCTCCAACGAGCTGCTGTGGTAGCTGCCGTTTTAATTCAGCGTGCCGTTTTCGAAAACACCCTACGGTTAAATCATGCGAAGACGTCCTTGCTCATGAGGCCAGCAGGTGCTGGCATGAGAATGGTCGAGAGGTAGGTCTAGGCCAGATGGGGTTAATGTTCAGCTTGCAACTTCCCAGGCTGTTGCCATCCGCCGCGCCATCAAATGTCTCGGGACGTTGGTCTCGGGCAGCGGGGCAGGAAAGTAAGCATAGGCATAAGACTGCCCCGTGTTCGGGGGAAATGCAAGCCCATCCAAAAAGCCCTTGCCAAGAGGGATGGCTTACGGAATGGAGGGGCCGTGGGAAAGCGCTGCAGGCTAAGGATAGGAAGAAATGTCTGCCCGACAACGTTGCAGAGTTTCCAGACTACAAGATGATAGGACCTCGCAGGTGCGTGGATATTGTTGCCAATCAAGAACAAATCAAGGTGTGACCAACGCTCAAAACCAGCGAATTTGACGAAGGAGAAGAACGCCTCCCGGCCTACTGTCCCAGCATGCCGTGTGCTCTACCCGACTCTGCTAGCTGTGTTGTTTCTGTTCGCTGGCCACGCTTCTGTCGACCAGTATCTGGTTCAGGCTCTGGCGAGTACCGCCCCCCACGTGCACGTCTTGGAGGTGGACCCACACGGCGGCCTGGATGTCTGGGCCCATCTGACCCGTGCGGGGCGCTCTTGAAGGGGGCCTGGTGCTCTCTGGGTGGTGGGTCCTGGGTCTTCTCCCGCGGCCCTGCTGAGGCCTCGGTGCCTGTCGGGCGCTCTCTCAGGGCCAGTGTCGAGCCCTTTGCGAGCAAGGAGTTGAACGCCAAGGAAGCTGACACCGTACACGATGACGACACTACGCTCAGGCTCGGCTTCCTGCTGCTTCGCATGGGATGGGTAAAACTTTTCCCGGTCGTGTTAGGTGTCTTGCCCATCCTGTGTTCCCTCTGACCAGCCTCAAGGCGATAGAGATCCTGACAAGAAAGGGGAATGTACAGTGTTGGCAAGGGTCCTCCTGCCTCCTCACGTGCCACCTTGCCCCCTCGTGCGGGAGCTCGTTGACCAGGGAAGGGATGGGTGAGATGATCGCTTGCGAGATCGGTCTCGTGGCTGAAGCTGTGGGCGACCCGTTTTTCAGGCCCGAAGCTCTCGCATCTTTCTTGGTTCAGCGCAGGCCGACGCAACTAGTCCTGCGGATCGATTTGACAAAAACGAAGGGGATTGGGACTTCCGTTTGCCTACTCGATCCCTGATGCCCCTGCTTCTCCTGTACTGCTCTTTCCGCCCGTCTCTCCTTTGTGAGTGAGCGAGGAGGAGTAGTGGGGGGGGAGGGATGGAGGAGTTCCTCCCGAGGACGAGGGGGACGATGAGAAGGAGGAAGGAGGGGGGGAGGAGTCGAGGGAGAGAGGAAGAGTGCGGACGAGAGGAAACCGGGGCGCCCGTGGAGGGCGAAGTCTCAACCGAACGCGCGTGCGACACCGCTCTGCCAGCAGCGTGGCGACAGCTGCACGCCTGGCAGCACTCAGAGGCGCTGCCGAGTCGGGCGCTGTGCTGCCAGTGGGGGCCCGTCCACAAGAAACCTTACACAAGAAACCCAAGCCTGAGACCCCAGGACGTCAATGGATTTCTGGCGTGGGGGCGGCACGCTTTCCATCGCAAAACCATCGACACCCAAGAAACCCGGGGCACCATGGAGGAGGTATTTCTTGGCATGGGCCCCCACTGTGCCCCCCGGAACCCAGGGAAAGAGAGACAGCAGGAGAAGATAGGAGACGGCGAGGCAGGCAGGTGGCGCGGAGAGGAGCAGGAGAGAAGGCGGGGAGGAGAGGAACCACAAAGGCGTGCTGAAAAAACAAGGACCCATCATACATGGCCTGCGGGCCACAAGCGAGGCGACACGCCAGACTGCGACAGTAACAGGTCGTATGCGCTTGAGAGATTTGTGTTGAGACATGTTGAACATTGACGAGTGGTCCCGAACACCGTTCTGAGCAATCAAAGCATACAGTAGCTCTTTATGGAATCACGGATTCCCCACGATTGAGATGGCCATGTGCCCCCATCCGACGTGTATCCACAGTTTTGCTGCAACAGAAAGGTGGGCAGAGTATGGGCACGGAGCTGTTGTGAGAAGCTCTGCAGAATCATAGGCACACGACGCTGGCCCGTGCGTAACATTCTGCCCCTTCCCAGCCCTCGTTTTATTCATCGTGGTCCTCCTCCTGACCCCCCTCCCTCAGCTCCAAGTCCGTGGGCCCGCAATCCCGAAGCCCATCTCATCGCTTAGCGGTGGGGCCCAGGAAAGGCGCCCGGGGCACTCCTCGGAGGTTCCGAAGAAGTCCATAGTGGAGGTTCCACCTTCGATCTGGATGTGCTGCCTGCACCCTCGATGTTCCTTTGCACGCCCGTCCTGGATGCTTGGAGCATGGGGTCCTCCTCGCCATCCTGCCCCACATCGTTCGTCGTCCTCCTCCTCCTTCACCGCGTCCTCCTCCTCCTCCTCCTCCTCCTCCTCCTCCTCCTACTCTTCCTCATCCTCCCCCTCCACATAATCCTCCTTGTCCTCGTCCTCGTCCTCGTTCTCGTCCTCCTACTGCTCGTCCTCTTCCTCCTCCCGCCAAAGCTTCCGAGGGGGCCTGGGCGCTGGCCTCAAGAGGCCCCCCCGCAGGGACGGCAGAGCACGCCCCCCGAGACCTGGAGATGCTCGAGCCTCCGACCCTGAGCTGGAGGAGGCCTCCTCCTCCTCCTCCTTCACCTCCTCCTCCTCCTCCTGCTCCTCCTCCTCCTCCTCCCTCCTTCTCCCTCCTCCTCCCTCCTCCCCCCTCCTCCCTCCTCCCTCCTCCCTCCTCCCACCTCCCTCCTCCCTGCCGCCGCCTCCTCCTCCTCCTCCTGGCCGTTGCGGCCCGAGCGTTGGCCTCGGGCGTCCGCGCGCGCGACTCGCAATGGCGCAGCGGATGGGAGCCAGGCGATGACGGAGAAGGAGGTCGAGCTGTACGTCTCCTGCAGCTTGGCGACCGCGCCCGAGTCGGGCGCTGTGCTGCCAGTGGGGGCCCGTCCACAAGAAACCTTACACAAGAAACCCAAGCCTGAGACCCCAGGACGTCCACCGATTATTGGTGTGGGGACGGCACGCTTTCCATCGCAAAACCGTCGAAACTCAAGACACCCGGGGCACCCTGGAGGCAAGCAAGGCGTTTCTTGGCATGGGTCTCCACTGTAGGGCGCTGGCCTTTGGAGGCCCTCCGAAAGGATGGCAGAGCATGCACCCCGAGATCTGGAGATGCTCGATCCTCCGACCTTGAGCTGGAGGAGGAGGAGGAGGAGGAGGAGGAGGAGGAGGAGGAGGAGGAGTCCCGCGTAAGTGTTCGCGCGGCGTCGGCGCACGCAAAGGTTTCTCTCACCGCGTCGATCGTTCAGCCTTGAATCGATCGTGGCTCCAATCGTTCAAGGTTGGACTCCGTCGGTCCCAATGGAGTTCACCGTGTCCCTCGGTGCTTCCGCAACGCAGTATTCAATCTTGAACGCCTTCGCTGGCGTCGCTGGCGCGCCAACGCCGCATGAACATACCGTATGCCAGAGATCGTTCCTATCGGCGGCGGGCAAGGGGCGGAAGTGAGAAGGAAGAAGCCTTCTCAGAAGGCGGCGGGGCTTCTCAGAAACCCTCCGGCCTTCAGAGAAACTGTCTGTCCCTTCGGGGAAGGCTTGGAAAACTTCCGAGCCTTCTGAGAAGGCCCGCCCCTTCCCACTTCCAAGACATCCGGCTGCTCCAATTCTTTCGATACGTGGGCCTGGGAAGCCCGGACCACTTTCTTAAGGCCGGATTGTCGTCCCGAGTCATTTTCTGACGGTCCCGAGGCCTGGTGAGGGCCCTGGGATGCCGAACGCTGCCAAAAACCGCCGCTAAGAAGGCCTTGTTGAGGAGCTGCTGGTCTCGTGCTTTGCCGGGTTGCCGGCGGCGTCGGGGTGGCCAGGAGGAGGAGGAGGAGTCGAGGAGGAGGAGGAGGAGGAGGAGAAGGAGGAGGAGGAGGAGGAGGAGGAGGAGGAGGAGGAGGAGGGTAACCTGTAGCAGGACCTCCTCGACGTCGTCCTCGTCCTCGTCGTCGTCGTCGTCGTCGTCGTCGTCGTCGTCCTCCTCGTCGTCGTCGTCGTGGTCGTGGTCGCCGTCGTCGTCGGCTACGCTCAGCAAACTAAACTTATTCCAGCCGCCCTCCCCCCCAAGGGACGCTCGGCAGAGGCAGCCGGCACCTGCATGCCGGCGTCGCCGAAGCTGTTTTTGAACAGCTTCAGCATCTGGACCTCGCGCGGGGGGTCCTCCCAACCTCCCCTCTCTCCCTCCACCTCCTCCTCCTCCTCCTCCTCCTCCTCCTCCTCCCTCCACCTCATCCTGCTTTCCCACCTCCTCCACCTCCTCCTCCTCCATCCTTCCTTCTGTCCTTCCTTCCTTCCTTCTCTCCTTCCTTCCTTCCTTCCTTCTTTCTTTCCTTCCTTCCTTTCTCTCTTCCTTCCTTCCGCTGCCTGGGCAAAATGGGCTTGCGAGGTGATCTAGCCTGTGCGGGGGGGGGAGGCGTATGGCTCAGCCCTCCCCGCGGAAGCCCAGAGGGCCAAACAACGCAGAAGCCAGCGGACGAGCCAGCAGCCCAGATGGCCAGCGGACGGCTGAGTCCGCGAAGACCATGCCAAGCCTTAGGTCGGGCTTGTCAACCCTGCAGGCGGATCTTGGATGTAAAACTTAGAATTAATCAACACATGCTCACAACTAGTCAAAACTAGTCAAAAACTATTCAAAACATCGTTCCCAAACAATTATGTGACATGTTGT